CTTACATTCCAGCACAGGGGACTGAAGGAGAAGGAATCATTGCAGTTGAGAAGGAATCATTAGGTAAGCCAAAAGCAGAAATGTTTAGCCTAAACTGGGTACTTGTTTGACTTAGCTCAATAATTCAAGTGTTATAGAGGGAAACAGAAACAAAGAACGTGTGAGGAATAAATCACTGAAGATTATGCCAACAAAGTAGTGTAAATAGAGACCTGAAACTACTTTTAGTCCTCTGAGTATTCTCCGGTTCCTAACCCCAAATAAAATGCAAATGCTATTGTTAACTTTTTACACATTCAACTTCAGCATATTTTTAAGAAAATATTATGTGAAAATAGGGCAATACCTGTACATAACTTGATACATTCATAGAGTCAAGCCCCAACCACCTGTCTTTTTTCTCCTCTCCCATATCTTCTATTTCATTTTCTTTGTGTCAGGGCATCAGCAAGCCTACACCAAAAAAGCCAAAGAACTTGGCAAATTCTAAAGTAGGTGGCAAGGCTCAGGAATTTCTTTTTAAAAAGCTTAAGTACTTTTAACTTAAAAGCTGAGCCAGAGTGACAGAGAATGGTGGGGACAGGGGGGTCAGACTACACCTTTTTTCTTTTTGGAGGAAGGACACAACAGTACATTAAATCACTTATAGCAATCCAACTGCATTTAGTCCTGACCATGTCTTACAAGTTGCTCTTGTCAACAACAAGGTTAAAATCATTTGTGAATTCCAGAGTCTGTGAATAAGCTGGAATGGTGATCCATGGATTGGTAAGGCAGAGTAGCTTCAGGAAAAATGGCTACCAATGTCTATAGTTATTGGACCTAAACTGGATAACCAAATACATCATGAAAATTAAAAACACATATCATAGCAAACATTTCTTTACATGTCACACTATCACACACACACACAAACACACAAACACACAAATAATCTAGGATAGGCATTTTCGTTGCTGAGCACAAAAGTTTATTGACAAATAATACGGTGCAATTTTCCCCAGAAGGCAGTACCTAGAGAAAGCACTAATTAAACACAAAAGTTTCTGTTGAGCTTGTTGCTGTTGGTTTTGAAGAGGTGGAGAGGAGGGCACGTGTAGATATGTGTAAAGGAGGTACACCAAAATCTTTAGTGGAATTTTGAATAACTTTTATTTTCTTTTTTATTTCAGTATTTTCCATATTCTCAAATATGTATTACATGTTAACAGTCCAAAAATGCTATTAAACAAAAAGAAATTAACACATTGAGGACGGGGCATTTAAATGTATAGACGCAAATCTGCGTAACCGGTCTACATTGTGTTAAAATAAACAGTAGCCAACTTTTCCAAAACAAATCCTTTTCACTAATATTGGTGAAAGAGAATCGACTCTTAAAAATACCATATGTCAAGAAAATATTCACCCAAGAAATAAATGTAGAAAAATCCTTCTATAAAAGACACTTGGAAAGATATATGTGAAAATTTTAAAAACATCTTGCTCAAATATGTGACTCACTGAAAGGACCTAAAATAAGAAGCATATCATACAAAAAACCTTTTTAAAAATTATAAAAATCAATTCAAGGAAAACACTAACAACATAGCTTCCAAACTAATTTCCAAAGTTACGGCATCTTGCTAAAATAACATCTCAATAAATATGTTTAAAAATAATATTTTCCATGTGAGGAATAAGGTATCTTTTATATACTGGCATATCAGCAACCCTAAGAAAAATCCAGTGCATTCAGAACAAAGGTATTCCCAATGATACCCTTGATATTTATCATGAAATACCTCTGAATCATCCTTCTAAATTATAACATGGAGAATTGCTAGTAATAATAAGTATGTTCAAACATACAAACAATACAAACATCAGAATCTGTTTTGAAGAAAATTACACTGACTAGTAGAAATAAATTCTTAGAGTCAACTAAGCCTTTTAAAGTATCCTTAAAAACAATTTTCTATAAGAGATCCATCAAAGTGCGACGAGCATAAATGTCTGCCTGGCTTTTTCGCGTGCTTTCTGATACTCTATTTGGTCTGCAATCTCCAGCAGAAGCCTAGCACATCATTCTCCCTGTACAAAAACCACCGGCATCTAGAACCTCCGGGCTGGACTCCCCGACTCTTTTGCCACAGATAACTGAGATTCACTCCAGCCGATCCTGCAGAACTTCCAGGGTAACAAGTCACATGCGTCCTAACCCTTCTGTGGGAAACCCTAATCCTGTGCCACAGCTCCAACAAAGCCATCCCCCTCGCCGGGCTTCCCCACCACCACGGCCGGGGCCTGCTGCTTATGGGGTTCTGTGGTGAGAAAAGGGCATCACAGCGACAGCTGGTAGCGACAGCCATGCTGCTTCGCCTGCTTGAGAAGACGTCTTCCTGCCTTTAATAAACTTCTTCAGGTCTCATCCAGGGACTCTGCAAACAGCAGGAAACAAATTAATTAGCAACACTGCTGCACAGTATGTACGTAAGCAGTAAGAATGTGTCACCTGTTCCTGAGCTATCTTCATCAATTGTCTGTGCCCATCAAGAGGGACTCAAATACTAAAGACTAAGTTTTCCTTTCACCACAGAGCAAGACACTTCTGGGAACCAGATACCCAGACAACCAGTAGATTGCAACTAAAAGACTTCAGGTTAAAGGGTGATTATTTTTTGAGGGCAATTATTTTTAATTATTATTTGTTGGACATCTTTTGTGACAGGCATGAGTAAAACCCAAAGGCAGCTGAGATGCAGGCTATCTGACCAATCAATCCCTTTATAAAGCATGATTGAAAGATAAAAACCCCTCGGTTGCTTAACACAATATTTAAGCAATAGGCAAGTTGTTACTGAAACTACATGGGTCTTCAGAGGCAGAGACTTCCATTGAAACCCAGCTCCATCTTCTATCGTCTTAGCCTTGAGATAAACAAAGGGTAACCATACAACTTATCGGCCAAACCAGAGCACTTCTGAAAATAAAATGGAGTGCCATTAATAACATTTGGACAACAGCACAAACTAGGCCAGCTCCAGGTAAGGGAGCTAAGATCAGTAGTCTAAATAAACGCTGTCCATGTAATGGAGGTGTCATGAGTATCAGGTAAATGCTCAGCACAGTGCCTGCCATAAGCTCTCTATTTATACTGGGTTACTGTCCTTTAGAAATTATTTCTTGTAATAAAGTTTAATGACAATTGTCACATATTTCTCCTTCAAACAATGGATTTTACCACCAATGTTCCATAATGTAACACTTTGAAAACTGCACTCTAGAAATAAATAAATACACCGACATGAAATAAAATAGACATCACTTTCTCACACCTGCACTGTACCGAATATGCCCTCTAGAAATACAATTAATACTATTTAATACCATATGCAAAATGGTAGGGCTGAGAATTCCCTAGTTTTGTCAACTGTTTTCCCCGGTTAAAGCACTCAAAAATGGCAAGCAGATGCTATAAGCCAAAAAGAGAGTATCATACCATCACAGCCATGGAAAATGCTTGCAGCCAGGTCCCTTTCAACTTCCTTCTGCAGCGTTTCTGCCTCTCCAAGCAGCAGGTTCTCCAGTTCTTCAAAGTTCACTTCCTTGCTGTTGAGTGTCAATTATCCAGAAACCACACAGGTATGTTACATGATGTCTGCCAACATGAAATGCCAGGACTCTACCAGCTGCTTCCCCACCTCTGCAGTGGGGTTGTAAGGATCAGAAACTGATCCGCTCTTGCACAAACAGACACAAATTCTTTCAACATATTTATATTCACTGCCTCCTACATTCCTATATGACAGGCACATGTACACTCATTTACTCTCCTATCACACCTTTTGGCCAAGGAGAGAGAGAGAGAGAGAGAGAGGATAAAATAGACCCAGAACTACTTCTTACACAGGCAGGGGATTTGGCAGAGAACTTCCATTGCTACAGTCTAAATTATGTGTGTCTGTGCATGTTCATTTAAGTATTTAGGGCACAAGAATTGACATACCCCTCATGCTTAGTATCAAACACACAGAAATCTACATTTCTATGAGTTCACATGTTGTGACCAGAAATAAACTCTCAGAACTCCTGTTAATACAATGGTTTATTTATGTTTCGTGGTGAAGATAAAGGAGGATAAATAACTGCTGCTTTCTGCATCTGCTGAGAATTTATATTCCCAGAAGCAAACACATCTGAGACCTTGCTCATCCAAACCTATTTATTCATGCCTTTGAAATGGTTGTAAGTGCTAAAGTTCTAAAAGTGCAATTTATTTTTAATTTGGGGAGAATTCAATAGATACAGAAAAGAAGGCAAGTTCCTCACGTATCTAACAGCTGTTTGATCTGAGCTACTTCTCCAGTCCAAGGAGAAACCACCACTTAAGAATTGCTAAAAGGAACTTACTGGTACCTTCAAAGGCCTACAGACTGATACCCTTGCTGTAAATGAGCACTTGTATTTTTAATTAGGCCAGTTCTACAAAGGCAAAAGCCAGCCTCTGAGTGAACACACGTAACAAATAATCACAGGTAAAAACCACAGAGCTCTGTGGAACAATCTTAGTACAACATCTAGGTGAAAGCAGTATGCAACTATTAGGCCCAGCAGAGAAAAAGATATCATTAGAGGCACTTTTTTAAATCACATGGGCCAATCAACTTGGGCAAAATAATACAAGAGGTGCAAAATTATTCCCCCTTTCGAAGCCTGAACAATTGCTACCATGGTGGGGTGGGAGAACAGTTCATCAAATGGAGTTTTTCTGTTACATCTGGTAAGCTGGGCGTGCCTTACCTTTATACAATACCACTTTCGTGAAGTTATCAAATTTAGCTTTCCATATTCAGTTCTAAGCCTCTACAAATGTTAACTTCCTCTTTAGAAATATACTCCAAATTTATGTAATATGGTATATGGTCATACATACAAATTTATATGAGAGTGAGATTAGGATTCAAAAATATTACCCTAACTCACCTCTATAGTAAATTGCTACAATACATTATACTTACTGCCTCTTTAATTTCACAGGTGAAAACATGTATCTGAAATTCTTCTGAACCATGGGAACTCTCTGTAAATGCAAAGCAATTGCTCTCTGCTGTCCCATCATGTCCACGTGCACAGAACAACACCTTATAGATCGGAAATGATGCTATCTCCAAATTGCTGGATTGTTTTATGATTCTGCAGAACAGTGATGGAAAATAAGATAAAATATTAAACATGAAGAAACAAAGGCAAATAGTTTTACTATGCCAATAACATATAAACCTAATGATCTTAAAAACTCTAAACTGGAACTAATAGTGCAAGAAAACAAATTATCTTCATATTCTTGATTTATATGTGTGTGTATACATACACACACACACACACATACTCTTCACCTGCTTTTGAAAATGACTTCATTTTTGTGTTTCCTATGATCCAAGTCACTTCCTCCCAAAGCCAAGTATACACTGCCTGGTAAAATCTATGTCACTCATCCCTAAATGCAGGTCTTGTTCTGCTCTAGCAAAAGGAATGCCAGCACCAAATAGCACAGACCATCCATGAAGAGTTCATTTTTATTTAGAGCAGCACCTGTAAGTTTATCCAAGCCCCAGGTCACTGTTAACCAAGACCTGTTTTACCCCCACAAAAGGTCAGAGTGATTACAAACATCAAATTAACAACAGAATTTAAGAGGTAAAAGGAGACTGTGGGATTTAATAGCAAACAATTCTCTGACTTTCCCTGTACAAATCCTAAGCCCTCGATTGATCTAAAACTCAAGACCACTTCAGGATTTCAAACTCTGAAACTGAGGGGTACCCACTAAAAGTAGAGAGGCAAGTCAAAACACTGTCTTTGCCAAGGTGCTGGCACTCTGAAACTAATGAGATAACATTAAAAGGCACGCTGACATTTTTAAGGGACATCGTACAAACAATATATATACAAAACCCTTTCCTGAAAAACTCAAAGCATTTTTAGCAAAACTCTGTTATTTACATTGCTATTATTTTGGTACTTAGAACTTAGCTAACATTGTCTCATATTCTAAACTTTAGAGAATGAAGCCAATCAGAAAGAGTTTGAAAAAAGATTAAGCTTACAGGGAATATTACAGGTTCAGGACACATTCAACCTGATTTCCTAGACCTGATACACTTATTTGCTCATACAACAAATATACACTGAAAACCTGGACAAGACACCACTCTAGACACTAAAATTACAGCAGAGAAAACTACAAAGAACCTGCTTCCACAGAGCTTATGTTCCAGTAAGGAAGGCAGATAACACACAATTAAGTCAATAAATGTATAATATAACATCAAGTCAAGGAAAAGTGCTATGAAGAAGAAAAAGTCTCAGTAAGGGGGAAAAGAGGTATAGTTATAAGATATCATCAATGGAGGCTTCTTTTGATAAAATGTTTGTTGAGTAGAAAGTGGAAAGAAGTGAAAAAGCCACTGGAAAACCAAGGAAAGGTTGTTTCCAGCAAAGGAAATAGACTATAGAAAAGTCCTGTGGTAGGAATCAGGTCTGTGTCTGAGAAAACAAAGAGGCTGCAGAAAACAAAGAGGCTGCAGTGACTGGAAGGTAGTGAATGAATGCAGTGAGTGAATGAAGTGAATGAAGTGAGAGAACAAAGGTCAGGTCAAGGCAGAAGGTCATCAGTGACCAGTCATGGGAGGATCTCAAATATAATCACACATGTGATCAGAAGCCACTGCAGGGCTGAGTGTAGAAGAACATTGTCTGACTTACATTTAAAGAAAGTCAAGGTGCAGAGGACATTAAATATTATTCCTAATTAAGCATAAGAGTAAAAGTCACTTTGCTTCTTTCTAGTCTGATGTTAGGAGCTTAAAATCCAGGGCTCATTCTAGTTCTTTGAACCACTATTACATGACAAGGTGAAGACAGATTTTTACTCTCCAGAACAGAGAAACACAAATTACAGATATTTCTACAGTGATATTTCCATTTATAATATTCTAAGCATAGCTTTGCAAATGCCCCTTATGAGAAGGAACACAGTCTAAGCCTACGCACGTTCACTTTGCATGTCTACAAAGTGAAAGTGAATTAACAGTGAGTCTTAGGCCTGATTTATGATATAATACCATCATTACCCCCCTAAAAATCTTCAGTATGTCGGGGGGGGGGCAGGAGGGATTAGAGCTTACCTCACAGAACCTTCTGGAACATTTGGCACATACAGAGTAACAGGAAAGGGGTTCTGACTGGAAGCTTTCATAGTTGCCATTGCCCGTAAAGCCTCCACTTCATTACGTGGGGAGGAAACTTTCATACATCCTAAGTAGGTCAGTTTGTGAAATAAAACACTCTCTTCCTCAGGTAATCCACTTGGAGAAGATGGTCTGGGTGTTGAAATTTCTGAAGGAAAAAAAAAAAGGAAATACTCAAAAGTTAATGCAAAACTTCACAGTATAATTTTGCCTATTGTCAAAAAACAGACGAAAATTTGCAAAAAAAATTAGGTCTCTGTTTTCATTTCTTTTAATGTTTATCTTATATCTTAATTCAGAGTTCTAGAATTGGCCATTATATACTTTCAAATCTCTTAAAGTATTATCTTACTCAACTATAACTTATTTAGAGGAAAAGAAAAAATGCTAAGCTTTATATTTTCTTAAAAAACAGAGTTCAAATTTCACAGAAAATGAGAAAAACCTACACTATAGACAGTGTGAATTAGCCTAAAAATAATGAAGAGTAAACAAAACTATAATCAGTTAAAAGCTTCTCTTAGTTATACAAATCCTGCATATAGCACCAAATTTATTAAGCAACCTAACTTCCTATGCAAAAGTAAATAATGTTAAGATGTTACATCTCATACCACTAACAATAAAAGTCAAGCTTTGTGCCGAGAGAAATAAGTCAGAGAGAAAAAAATCGAGAACCATCTGATTTCACTCATATGTGGGATATAAAACTGAAAGTTAACAAATGAACAAGACAAACACACAAAACCTCATAGACACAGGAAACAGCTTAGTGGTTCCTAGAGGGTAAGTGGGGAGGGGGTGGTAGATGAGGGTAAAAGGGGTCAAATATACGGTGACAGAAGGAGGACAGATTCTGGGTGGTGAACACACAATGCATTATATACATGATGTATTATAGAATTATACACTCGAAACCTATATAATTTTATTAAACAATGTCATCCCAATAAGTTTAATTTTAAAAAAATTAAAATCCTCAACTAAAAAAAAAAGTCAAGCTTCTTACTTTGCTCCTTCCTGGGACTGCTGGCGTCTATGAATTATGTAAGTATTACAATGGAAATGTTTCCTCAAAATAATTGTTATTTTGATGTATGATCCTATAATCGTTTCTTCCAATTCTCCCCTCCCCATTAACGAGTTTCTTTAAAAAAAAACAAAAACTGTTCACTTTAATTCTAAGCACAGCATGGAGCAAAGGCCAATTGTGATGAGAGTATCTATCTGCATATATCAGGTAGTATAAAACTCTCCCTTTGCTGCTCTCCCATCTTCACTTAAAAATGCAGCTAGTCCCCAACCCTTCCCCTATTACCCATAACCATATTGCACAAAATTAAGCTGAAAGTAAAAATAATAAGAAAAAAAAATACTGATAGTAGACAGAGAAAAACAGCATGTTACACATAGGAAAACAATGAATGATTCAAAGGACTGCAGATTTCTCACTAGAAACTATGGAGACAAGAAGACAGTAGAAGAAGGGGCCAGCCAAGTGGCGCGTTGGTTAGGAGTTGGCTTGAGACGTGAGCTCTGAACAGCAGGGCCACCAGTTCAGTCCCCACATGGGCCAGTGATGCTGCGCCCTCTACTGCTAAGATGGTGAACAACAGCTCGACCTGGAGCTGAGCTGCTGTGAGTCACCGGCGACGGCTTAGGCTGCATCCCCTGCTGCAGTGGGCTGTCGTGAGCTACCCTGAGTGGCCAGCAGCCAGTGTGAGAGGCCCGGCAGCCGGCGACCAACTGCCTCACCCGGGAAGAGCACAATGATCACAATACCAACATGAGCCAGTGAAGCGACATCCTCCACAACTAGACTGAAGAACAAAAGGACAGCAACTTGTCTGCTCCCCTTCCCCGATTCCCCAACGCTATTCCCCTCCCCCAATTCCCCAATAAAAATCTTTAAAAAAAAAAAAGACAGTAGAAGAACATCTTTCAAGTACTCAAAGAAAAGAACTACCTAAATGCTTTTAAAAGGACATTGCTCCATAGAAATCCAGAGGTTCTACTAGGATGCTTCAATGGTGATGACGGGCCCATACCCTGCCTCACACCCATTGTAAGCAGATATGTTATAATTATTGAGCTTGGACCTAAGATTTTATTTTCAAGTTTAAGATTTCCAACACTGTTGAGGATGATAAACATTTTATTTGGTGTTTACTTTTTGCCTGTCTTTACAAAATACTTTATATGGATGATGTCATTTCATCCTCCAACATCCCTATGAGGCAGGTTCTATCTTAGCTCTATTTTACAGAGGATAAAATTGAGTGTTAGAGAAGATAAATAACGTGCCCAAAATGATATAGCCACAAACAGAGCTTGGGTTCTAACCCAGGCCTGAACTCCAGATATCATGTCTTAACCTCTATGAAAGGTCTAAAATAGGATGAATTAAAAGCAAACATAGTTCTTATTCTACTCTCAGTTATAGAGAGTATCAACACTTCAAGAGAAGAAACTGTTCTATCCTCTTTTTATTCCCAGCTCTTATTAATAATGTCTAAAAGACTAGGCATTCAATATACATCAAGTGAATTAATCACTAAAAAAATAAAAACTTTTTAGGGTTAGTGGTCCTTTTAGCAATCTATTATGGCAAGCACACATCATCCTGGGTACCACCTAGACCCTATCCCATCGACAATTAAATGTATCGTAACTGCTGCCTTCATGGAGAGAAAACTCACTGGTAACTATCCAGTTGTGACCAATGGAGATCATGAGTTAAGCAGACAAACAGCAAAATATTTTTAGCAAGGCTTAGATCTGGTAAAATCACACACTAACGTAAGGAATTCATTTCTACCTAAGTATAAATTCAGTCCTATTCATCATCTTTGATTCATACCATCATCCCTTCTTTAGCAGAAAGATGCAAAGAGTAACAACGAACATGAGGGAGAAGAATCATCTATGTATCCAAACAGTATTTTAGTAATTGCTGTAAACCAACAAAGATTTCCTGTTAGAACTGAATCCAAGCAGCCGGGATATAAGGTCATCAAATGACAAATAAACAAACGCTCTCATCTATCTAGTTTTGTAACTGGCAAACAACACACCTTTAATGCTCACTTTAGACCATTTAAATCTAGACACTTTCCAGGGAGTCACTTGCCATTGAAGCTATGTGTCATTTTAAACCAACTACAACAATTTTGTTAGCAAACTGTGTTGATTGCAGCTATGAAAAGGCAGCTGAAATGTCTTGCCTTAGCCCGTTCAGGCTACTACAACAAAATACCACAGATTGGGTGGCTTATAAACAACAGACATTTATTTCTCACAATTCTGGATGCTGGGAGTCCAAGATCAAGGTGTGGGCCGATTCAGTGTCTAGTGAGAGCCAGCTTTCTAGATGGCATCTTTTCACTGTGTCTTCGCATGGTGGAAGGGACAAGCTAGCTCTCTGGGGTCTCTTTTATAAGGGCACTAATTCCAATCATGAAGCTTTGCCCTCATGACCCAATCACCTCCCAAAGGCCCCTCTTCCTAATACCATCACGTTGGGGGTTAGGATTTTAATATATGAATTTTGGGGAGGACACAAACATTCAGACTATTGCATTGCATGCTTTTTTACTGAAAATGAAAATTACATTATTCTTTGATACCCAAGAATTTATTAATTTGCTCAATAAGTATTTATTGAGAGCATACTATGTGCCAAGTACTCAGTGTAAAATGAAGCCCCAGACATAGCCCCTGTTCTCAAAGAACACTGAGGCTGATTTCAAAGGTAGAAAGACAAACCGAAACATAAGAACTAAAGTGGGACCTCCCAACCAAAACTGAAAAGTTAGTGGCCCCTATCTTAAAAACAAAACTAACAGAGTTTTCTCATTTTTATCTTAAATTTCATTATCACTTTATTCCATATCTGTTATGGCTTCTGTGAGTTCCATAGAGTACCTGTATTCGATGGATCCAAAATTAACTGAAGAGATGGTTTATTTGTCTGGCTGGCTGAAACATCTCCAAATGAATGGTCTGAGATCTCACTGGAACTCAGACGATCAACAAGAAGGCCACTTTGCCCTTTCTCAGAATCTCTCAGAATCTCTTCCATGGCCTTTTCCAATTGTTCATCACCATTAGAAACTATCTATAGACAAAGCAAGACAATTCTGTTTCAATCATATTATGGTCCTGGAGCTGAATGAAAATATTTCATTTCTAGAAGAAACTAAAACCTAAATATTTAAATTTAAATATAGTTACTGAATACCAAGAATTTATACAGTTGTGACCAGTTTCACTAGATATACAAAATCGTGAATTATAAAACCAACTAAATTAGGGGATTATCAGCTTCATAAAAGGGTTCCTCAGAAATCACTTCAGGCAGTTTCCACCTACATCTGATTTAAGCTCTTATTTACAGAGATTTCCTTTTCTTATTTTTTTATTTTCATTTTTTAGGAACACATTCCGAAACCAGGTAATCTTAAATGTATGTGTTTTAAAGAGAAAAATAGATACGTTTAAATACAGTGTCAATTAAAATAAACAAATAAATATTGTGATTATACTATGAATATCATATAAAAGGTCATATTTCTTATCAGAGCACAAACACATTTCTGATTTCTTTAAATTTTGCTTGCTAGCTGCCACGAGGAATATTCTTAATTTCCTTACATTTAAGATGACTCATCTTTTTCTTAAAAGCAGGTGAGACACAAAGAGTAAGTAAATAAATGATGTCTTGAGTTAAACACATTAATACTAAAATACAGCTGTTTAAATAAATTTAAATAGTTGTTTATTTAAATAAAACTGATTATTTTAATAAAATTATAAAACTATATGTCCTCAACAAAATGTTAAATGGGTATTTAATAATCTGATTTTAATAAAACTTTATTAGACTGATATACTAATATACCCTTGATGCCACAGTCAATATTAAATAAAAATCATAAAAAATATGTAGCACTTTTGACTAATTTCTCTATTCCTGTTTCTAGAGGGTAGACATACAATTCTCATGCATGTGTACCTGGGTTTGTTTGGTTCTTTTTCATTCAGTTAGGGAAGGCAACATAACAGTGAAAAAGGAAAAGGAGCAAATCCAAATAAAAACTCAACTGCTAAAAATATAAGACATATACTTAAAAAATATCTCAACAAAGTCAACTGTTAAATCACATACTAGGATGTTACCAGTTGATTTAAAAACCATAAAGAAAAGTCTCTGAAGTGAAAGTAAAACACAATTATTTATATAATTAACTTTAACCCAGAAGTAAGTGAGACAAAAACATCTAGACAAATTACATTTATGTAAGATTTAACCATGAAGTCTAATTCCCAATTATTTTCCCATCCTATTCCTTGTTTCTAAATGCTGGTTTAAAAGATAAATAACCAGCAAAAAAACTTCAAAAATATACAAACCGAATAATGAGCCTCTAGATAAATCAAACGTTGATTCTATTCTCAAAGTTAATACTTGAGAAAAACCTTTGGATTTTACACATCGCATTTCACCTAGTTAAAAACCAATCATTTAAAATAGTACCATTGCAGAAAAGAAAAAAAAAACTACCTTCAGTTCAGGTTTTCCTTCATCTTTTGTAGAAGCATCATCTGCATGCTGAGGAACCAAAACAAATTCTTCACTGTTCAAGGTAGCCACACAATCCGATGGCCCAGTAACCTTCTGTAATGAAGCTGTGACCTCCATTTCAGGTCTGCAAACTCCTCTTCCCAAATCCACCTGGTCAAAACCACAGGGTTAAAAAAAAAAAACAAAAAGCTATTGAATAAAAACATGAACTGATCAATCTTCGGCCTTTAAAAATGGTTCATGTGCAGAAGAATTCTGCTGACTAGATAATTATCTCAAAACTAGGGAAGCTACCGTCTTGGACAGGGCCACATAATGGAAATGTCCTCTTTTCACCCTGAATTTCCAGACTAAAAGAACCATATTGTTCCCTGAAAAACAACACAAGCCCGCCCATATCTCAACTAAACAGGTTTACTACTGTTTGACTCTCTCTATAGTTCTCCTAGAAATACTTTTTGTTCTTTTTTATAGAGGAAATAATTAAGCGTGACACTAGAAGTATCTACAAATTCACAAACCCACAAAAATACATTCACTGAGATTACTTTATAATTAATTCTAAGTGTCTCCAAAACTTATCTCAAGAACATGTATAGTACCTTAAAATGTTTTTTCTGTGCCACTGACATTAACTAATTAATATACAACTCAACACCCTAAGCCATGTATCTTTTTTTCCAGACACATTACCACTTATCAGCAGGAGAGGGGGAAAAAAAGACCAAAACTTTCACACTGCATTCATGTAGCAAACAATGTTTCAGTAATCAAATACAGTGTAATTCTGCTTTCTGGACAGATCTCTGCCTCACATCACAGAAACTCAACATTCTCTAAATATTCACACAACTAATTTTAACTCAACATGAATACTCCATAACAGATGCTATACTCAGCACTTCGGGTTACATGAGTAAATGAGGCAGACAAGTTGCCTGCTCTCCTGGAGCTGACATCTTGTAAGGACACAAGCAAAGAAGCAAATTAGGAGATCCAAACCACTCTAAAGGATATGAAGAAAATAAAACAGGTTAATGTGACAAAGAGTAGCTGTAAGAAGTGTGGGAACAACTGCAAGTAAGGTGGTAGGAAAGGACTCTCTGAAAGGGAAATATTTCAGTTGAAATCTGAAAGATAAAAAATGGACCATATATTATATAATCTGCTCAGTGACCAAAGGGGTAGAACAAGGAAGCCAGGGCTAAAGAAGGCAGGACTCTAACTTTGGTTAGACTTTTTGGTTAACTTTGGTTAGGACTTTTTAGTCTGCTGATCTGTGCTGAAAATTCCCCTCAGAAATGTTCTTTTTCTTATTCGGTTACTTTGTTCATTGTGACATGTAAACAAGGTTGCAATATTTCATTTTGCCATTAGGTGACACTAACATCATTACACCTGCCCCTGCCCCACCCAAAAAAAGATTTACTTTCAGCTTCAAGTTACACTTTAAAAATGAATTACTTCCCAAATTTATAAAAAATCAATAAGATCAAAATAAAGAATAATTGTACGCCTAGGCTAATGTAATTAGCTAGCCATCATTTATTTCTGTTACGCATGTTAAGGTCCTTCCTTTTTAAAACCTCTCAAGCACGTTTATCTGTCCTCTAAAGGTTGTTCTCATTTTGCAGATTATATGTCTGAAAATGCAGTATGTGACGGAAATCACATCTTTACCCTTCCAGACTGCCCTATGCATCCTTGATTACCAAGACACCACACATTTCAGGGGCTCTCTGTGTGGCCAATCCTTTTCACGTGCCACTCTTCCACTTGACATGTAAATGTTGGATATTCTCCAAGTTCAAGTCCTTAGCTTTTTTTCTGATTCTTGCCACACACACTCTCTAAGTAATATCTCTCATTGTTATGGATTTAAATGCCATCTGTATGCTGACAGTGTCCCAAATTTCTATCCCAACCGAAACGTCTCCTCTAAATTCCTGATTTGGAAGCCAATGCTCTACTTGATATTTGCACATGGAATTCTTATCAGTATCTTAAATGTGACCCTAATGTCTCCTTCAAACTTGCTCCTCTTTCAGATTTCCCACTTCAGTAAATAACAGCACCTTGTACCAAGCTGCACAAACAAGGAATCTGGATGTTGTCCTTGACTCATCTCTGCCCCTTCATCCCTCACATCAGCATGTCAGCCCCACCTCCAAAATAAACCCTACATCTAGCCCATCTTTCTCCATGTCCATTTTCACCAAATTAATTCAAGCAATGTTCTCATCCACTATAAAAGTTTCCTTCCTCCAGTCTACTCTTCACAGAGCTGCCCAAGAACTCTTTTGGAAAATACGCTGGATTACATTAAAACTCCAGAATCAAATCTTTTCACTAAAACTCCATCAAAATCCAAACTCCTTACCAGGACTTACAAGGCCCAACACACCCTTGCTCTGTCACTTGGTCATCTCAACTCTTTAATCACAGAAAGTTCTGTCCCACTTCAGGGTCTTAGCTCTTGCCTCCTACCTTCGTATGGCTAACGCCTACAGGTATCAGCTTTCATTCATCCATTCAACAAATATTTAAGGAGTCCCTACTATGTGCTAGAAACTGTAATGGGAACTGGAAACTAAACGATGAGTAAGACCAGTGCAGCCCCAGTCTTCCTAGAGCCAACATTCTTAAGGGAGCGATAATAAAGGAGAAAATAAGCCAGGATCACACTCTGGAATGAGGACTCCAAAGGTGCTGAGAAAGCAGGAGGCAATATGGACCCAGTTGACATTTGAGCTTAATAAGAATGAGTGAGTCACAGAAAGAACTGGATGTGAGTGAGAAACAGGTTACTGAGGAACAGAAAGGAAGCCATGTGAGCTAAATCATGAGTGTGGGTGAGACTAGTACGAGCTGAGATATGGGAAGGAAGGCTGAGAAGCCTGAGGCCGCCCCTGACGCTATAAGGCTATCTAAATAAGCCCTCTCTCCAATCCTAAGTGTTTTGTTAACCAGGGAATATCCCATGCCTAGTGCAGTACCTAGTACATAGTGGATATTCAATAAATGTGTTGAACAAATTGTTCTTAAAAGCACCAATCAGGGCTGCCCGAGTGGCTCATTGGTTAAGAGTTGGCTTGGGATGCCAGCTCTGAGCAGCAGGGCCCAAGTTCGGATCCCACATGGGCCAGTGACGCTGCGCCCTCTACAGCTAAGATGGTGAACAACAGTTCCACCTGGTGCTGGGCTGCTGTGAGTCGCCGGCGATGGCATAGAATGCAGTGGGGCTGGCTGGCAGTGGGCATGAGCTGTCGTGAGCAGCTGTGAGCAGCCGTCCAGTGGCCGGCAGCCGATCTACCTCACCTGGGAAGAGCACAATGATAACACCAACATGGGCCAGTGAAGCAACGTCTTCCACAACTAGACTGAAGAACAAAAGGACAGCAACTTGTCTGTTCCCCTTCCCCACTTCTCCAACGCTGTTCCTCTCCCCCAATTCCCCAATAAAATCTTTAAAAAAAAAAAAAGCACAAATCAGGAGAAAGGGCAAATGTGAAGCCAGGATTCAAACCAGGTGGTCTGACTTCAGGGTACATGCTCTGATCCACACTGTATTATACCATCTCTTTCTTTTTTTTTTCAATTACAGTTGACATTCAGCACTATTTTATATTAGTTTTAGGTGTACACAGTGTAGTGGTTAGACATTTATATGATGCACGGAGTGATCTCCCAGTAAGTCTAGTCCCTGCCCTGCACCACACGGTCTCTCAGTTCCTCATCTGCTGAGCCCCAGGGTTGGCATCTGCCGCAAGAGGGCATCACCGTGTACTCTGAACATTCTGCACACTTACCTCATCAAACCTTCTCTGTCTCTTCTCCCAAAGCAAGCTTCTTAGATGAGTGATAAGTAACCTTAGTTGGCTATGAGTGAGGATGTTAATAATATTAATGGTTTCTCAATTCATATTAGTTTTGCAGGGATCTTTTGAATAATATGGAGCTCGCCATTCTGTGAACCTAAGACTAATACATCCATTTCAATGCAGCAAGTAAAACAGAGCAGTGCACAAAAGCAAAACTGCTTTTAAAAGCATTTAGTTAAAAGGCTGCCCTATTATAATTTAAAAATTAGAATGCAATTACTGACAAAGGATTTTTATGTCTCTTCAGGTACCGAAAAGAAAAAAGTACCCAATACTGTGAAATATATTCGAGGCATAAACATCTTTATTTTTACGACGTTTTTTAAATCTTTATTACATTTATTTATAGGACATTTTAAAGGTGTATGAGAACAAGGCACAGGAAACTAAGCAGTGCTACCAAAAATCTAATATGTTTCTTCTATTCGTCCCCTTCTTCCCAGCTCTGAACCCAATGGAACTCAATAAATATTCTTGGTTGAATTAAATCACTTCAACTCACATGCCCCACTCCTACAGCAATTCTACCACAGGAAACCCCTTATAATTCTTACTTTAATGCCACATCACTTTTGTCAAATAAGCAACAGAATATCTAAATTAGCACCTCACTTGGAAGCCTAAAACTACATTGTTCACATATACTAGACACAGTGTAACAACATTCAGCCAAGTCTAACTGGAAGCTATCTTCTACCCAAAATAGCCAAACACATTCAAAAGTATGAAATTGTGCACATGGTCCAATTTCTTTCTGTGCCAAACGTGGCTAGTCTGCTTCTTGCTTTATATTATGTATTTGCACCTATCCATTTTCAAGTGCCTCTTGCACTAAAATAGAAAACTGAAAAAATGAGTGTAATCAACATTGGATATGCTGGGAGGACTATCAGGCATGAGAATTAGGATGACTATAGCAGACCCATTACAAAGGTGAAAACAGGAAATGCTCTTAATTTACGATAAGAAAACAGACATGAATAATTTAGAAAAACATTTGCCAACCATAATTCTTCTGTGCTTTGGAAACTAAGCCAACACTGGGGAAAAAACTACCTTGATCTCTATTTACTGTACAGTCCATCAACTACTCAGGCAAGAGCCACACCGTATGTGTGTGCGCGTGTAAATGCAAGTGTGACCCTTCTACTGCAAAGGGAACAAGAGGACCCATTAATTCACATTACTTTAGTGTACACCTTTTTTTTATTTGCCTAGCAATAATCTACCAATCTTTTTTTCTGAGAATAAGGCTTCCCTCTATTCAAA